GAGAGAGAGAGAGAGAGAGAGAGAGAGAGAGAGAGAGAGAGAGAGAGAGAGAGAGAGTGAGTCTGGAGGTGTAGGAGTCAGAGGACAACTCTTGGGAGTCAGCTCTTTCCTTCCACTATAGGATCTGTGGATTGAATTTAGTTACCCCAGTTTTGCATGGAAACTGCTTTTACCTGCAGAATCATCTTGATGGTCTGAGATTCTTCTGACTTATTCTTTTGATGCAGAGAGAGTCTCATGCTGCCCAGGCTGGCTTTGAACTCATTATGTAACCAAAGCTGGCCTTAAATTCCTGACTTCTTGGCGATACATGCTAGATTGTAGATGTGTGTTGCCATGCCTATATACATGTTAAGATCCACCAGCTGACTCTCAGGGGTCACACTCACTAAAACATCATCTAAAAAAGATGCCCTTTTCTTTTAGCCAAAAATTAGTGAGCTGTATGATTGCCTTTTCTCAATTCAGGATCAGCGGCTCACCAGGAAGAACACTTAGAAGCTATTATTGGTTGGATAAGTCAAACTCAACTTAGTAAATGTTGCCTTTTTTTTTTTTTAAGTGCTTGACAGCATAAGAAAAGAGGGAAAAAAGTAAGAGTTCAAATCAGGCATTGTTTAGAATCAGGAGATGTAAAGGGACTGTTAATTCTCTCCTGAAGAGAAAGGTACAGCCAGGAGAGGAGAAAATCGTAACAAGTGGAGATCAAAGGGAACAGACGGGACTGTAGAAGTGAGTGTCTTCTGACACTCCCTGAACCCTGGGACGGTTGAACTGGGTACCAGGTGGCTTCTCTCTGCAGCACCTTTAGCTGTACAAAGCGTTTGTCTGTGCCTGCTTCCCAGGATGCACCCGGTGCTCTCCTAAGATGTCCAGCAACAGGGTTAAGATCTACTCACTGGCCATGCTGGGACTCTCTCTGATGCCTTTGAATTCCTGCTCCTTTGGGGAGGGATGTTCTCTTCCCATGCGGGACAGCAGGGAAATTTCTAACAAAAGTCCTCTAAATCCTCGTTCCCAGATCTTCAACTAGAAAAGCTCACAGACTTCCTATTTTTGAACGGTTGGTAGACAGCAATGAGGAAATACATTCTTACATATTAAGAAGGCCCAGGGAAATTATTGTGATGTCCTAACTTAGTTTCTGTGAGCTCCAGAGAATAGGCTATTTTGGGGGGAGAGAATGCCACTGATTTCACATTCATCCAGCATCGTTCTTTCTTAGCTTCTTGAGAAACACAGATATTTGTTTTAGATGCAGAGGAAGTTCATGCACGCACAAGCCTCAGTCAGCCACCAATGTTCTTTGAAGCTTCATTTATTTATTTAGAACTTTTTTTTTCTTTTTGGAGAATAGTTTCACTAGGCAGCTCAGGCTAGCCAGAACTTGCTGTGTAGCCCAGGCTGACCTTGAACACATTATCCTCCTGCCCCAGTCTCTCAAATGCTGGGATTATAGGCATGCACCAGTGTGTCTTATTCCTTTGGCACAGTGTCTTGGGTTTTGTTTGGTTTATATAGTCTTATTGCTTAAAGGAGCTTCCATTAGTCTATGCTTGGTTGCTAATGTATTGGATATAAAACACTGAGATGGTAGTGGGCATGAAAGGCAGTCTAGGGTTAGGCAAATTCGGGTTATATTATGACTATTGAAGCAGTGGCATGCCAAACTGTCAAGGGAGGGAACTGGAACAGAAGATTGCTTCTTTTTCTTCAGACAAGTGATTATTTGCCATTCAGAACATACTGGCTATATCTGTCATACACAGGTGTGGGGACTTTGGTTAAGGACGTTGATGCCAAGAAGAGGTCATTTAGGACTCATTTAGGAACTAATCAAGTTAGTTACTACTTCACCCACCTTTGTATGTCCTGTCTGCCAGCCATACTGAAGTTAGGAGAGACTGTGTCAGCAATCTCCGTGTGTCTTAACTGATAAGGATGTCACTCAACACCCCAGCTTTGCTGATATGTGAGACGGGCTGGACCTTCGTGTTTGCCTTTTGTGGCAAGAGCAAGGGAAGGAAGGAGTGAAGAGAAGGGCTGGATGGGAACTCTTTAATTCTGGAGACTGTCCTGATGGTTTGGCTTGCTAACCATTTGGGGGAGAAAAGTGCTGAGATAATGCATAAGGAACATAGCTATCTTCAGAAATGCCAGAAAGACTAAATTTCCATTTGGCATTATTTGTTAAGTACAAAAGTAATACCTGTAAAATAAGTTTTTTAAAAAATCAGAAACACTTCTAAGCCATAATGGTAAATATGAAAATATGAAAAAGAATGCTTCATGGTCAGGTATCTTGATGAAATAAAATGACCTTTGCTCTCAAATGTAAATGTTAACATTGTTCTGACATTTTATCCTATTAAATACTTTTCCATTTAATATGTTTTATAAAAGAACAAGCAAGACTTAACAATTAAGGGTGTTGTTCATGGACCGGTTTGAGGTCTGCCTGCAATTAAAAGAGGTCTGGGGTTCCTTTTATTCTGACTCCTTGATTTGAGGAAGAATGAACTCATTTCTTACCTCCTTTTGGAGTGCATTGTAAGTTGGAGCAATAAACAGCTTGGGATAAGGTTTTTCCATTACTCAAGAAATTAAGATTCTCTGGTAATTTAAGTATTTGGAGAACCTTGAAAGAGTGTGCATAAAGTCCTAACTAACTAGAACATGTAGCTCACTGAGACAGACCATCAGAAGAACAGCATCTATACCACTTTAAGCTCATTGTCCTTCTAAGAGCAGAAAAAAAGAATTATCATGTTTAATTCCTCAAAGTGTTGGAGCCTACAAAATTTTTAAAAAGAGGTTTTTAAGTATAAGAGGCCCGACATATTACAATTATAAATGGTAACCATCCAAGAAACAACTTTTGTGTAATTAAAAAAATAAATTAGTTAAATTCTTTTTGGATGCTCTAATAGGAAGAATTGCTCCCAATTACTTACACAAAGTCTATTTTTTTTTTGTTTTACATAAAATCAAGCAGTTATTTTTGGAGCAAATTGCCCAAGATTCCTGATAACCCTAAGATGTATAATTCACTAGACAATTGTATTCTCGAAGAAAAGTGATAATTGACGATCAAGTTGGTGGCGACTTCAGACTCTGTATCATGATAGTGTTTCTGCAATTGAGTTGGTTTAAAACATGGCAGTGTTTCCCGCATGATTCCAAAGTAACGGCTGCTGTCACTTGGCTTTATTGTATTGTGCAATCCAGAGGGTGCTATCTGCTAGGATTTTATCACAGCGGTGTAAAAACTTGAAGTTTAGAGCAAAAAAAAAAAAAAAAAAAAGCAAAAAAGCACACTAATTTATGCATTCACTAGAAAGTGTCCATGTTTTTGTTATAAATAGAAAAGAAACAGCAAAGAAGACATTTCCTCTGGCTCTAACTCCCCACTGAGGCTACGCGTAGACACATACAATCCGATCTGTTGAAGGTAAAACAGAGAAGTCCCATAACAGTTGCTCACCATGGTTTTATAGCTGATAGTTACAGATATTAAGTAGGTCTAAGACTACATCCATGGAACACCTTCATGTAGAAGCCAACGGAAAACAGGAGCAATAAACCCAATAGGCCTTGCTTTGCCAGATTCTCGGGTGCCGTCTCCACTTGTGTCGGTCACACTGCTGCAGGACAGGAACCACTCACTCTTCCTCCACCGGCTGCTGACAGACAGAACCGGCGGAAAACTGGTCTAGATTGAGGTGTCTTTGAAGACTGGCAAATAGGCTCTTTGCCCATTTTTTTTTTTTCATTTCCGTTTTATGGGACACCAAAAGAAATATTATTTGGACACAAACTAGTTGCTACAACAGCCCATTAAAAGTCGACTAGATGCGAAAGGAAGAGAATGTCATAAGCTGTATGGATGTGTATCAGTTTTTCTTGAGAAAAAAATATCCACATTCTAAGGGCTCTTAAAAATGTAAAAAACTTGCCCTGTTACCACGGGTTTTTAGAACACCTCTAAACACACACAAAATAAGACAGATATTACCTACAAATTCCAACTGTTGCTTAAACTCTAAAAGCATTTTCGTATTATTTTGTTTTGATACAGAAGGGGGAAGTCAGCTATAAAGAAATATTAAAAAGTATATTTTTATGTGGCCATCAGTCTTAAGAATATTGGGTTGCTTGCCTTCCCCAGCTTGTGCTGATACTGTAAGCGTGTGCTCAGGGGTATGACACAGGGTGCTCTTGTCCCTCCCCCTCCTCCCTTGACTCCCCCCTCCCTATCCCGTGGCTAAAGTGCCACCCCTCAAATGAGCCATTCCTTTTTGCTCTCGTCAATGGTCTCTGTGAAGTTGGGGTCGTTGTTCATGATGGCAGCATCTGCGCTCTCGGCGGACTCGGCTCCCTTGGCCTCGTTGGTGTGGTAGGTGCCCTTGTGACGGAACATGTACCGGATGAGGAATACCAGGGTGCAGAGGATGGTGAAAATCACCACAGCGATGACCCCTGGGGAGACCAGATAAGAACCAGAAGTTAAACAAGCCTTGCATACAAACCCATCTCGTCCCTGCATCCCAGCTCCCTGGGATGTGATTCTTTCCCACAGAAAACAGTGACAGTCATGAGGACAGCAGAAGTCATACATGGCTTCTGCTTCCAGACACAAAGGGGTTAGCAGGAACCAGAAGGCGACGTGTCCTCTCACCCAAAGTAACTAAAACACTAGATAAAATATACAATGCATAGGCTTTCAGACGGTGGATGATAGGTAAATCAGACGCATGATGCCTGAGGAAAGAGTCTGAAATAATGAATTTCCACACTTTGCCCAGTTTTCTGACTGTCCACACCGCTCTCCAGAGAGAACCAGGACAATCCAATGGACTTCCTGAACTGAGGGCAGGGCTTCGGGGCCAGCACATGTGCTCTGCACAGATGGATCTACTAATCTATGAAGTTGCTGAACCTCCAGCTGAATACTAATATGTGCACGACCTTCCACAGAGCCAGGAGGCACAATAAACAATTTCCAGAGCTCACACAGGGCTGGAAGATGATCAAGTTCTAACGGGAAATAACTACAGGCATTCAGTTCAGACTGTGAAGGGTCATGCTAAAGGTGTGCTTTTAAGGGGAGTGAAAGGTCTGTCGAGATTTGCCCTGCAAAAGCTTAACCAATTCAAAGATATCCAGTTGTAAGTACTGTAAGCAATCTCAGCACTCAAAATAAGACAATTAAACCCCCAAACTCAGTCATGTTAATAATATCTAGCAGCCAATACAAAAATGACCAAACAAGCAAAGAAAAAAAATTTTTTTTTCTACTACAAGGAGAAGAATCAACTTAAGTAAAATTGGCAGAGAAAACAGAGTGAGCACAGGGGGACCTATGCAGACCAATCACTAATAACCAAGACTGAGGGAGGACCTGTGCAGGCCAATCACTAATAACCAAGACTGAGGGAGGAGCTATGCAGACCAATCACTAATAACCAAGACTGAGGGAGGAGCTATGCAGACCAATCACTAATAACCAAGACTGACTAAGGGAGGCAAAAGGGATGCGTACCAGAAGGAGTAAGGAAAAATTCACGATGATAAAATATTCAATCTAAGATGTAAGGTCTCCAAATGTGTATCCATCTGATTGAACTACAAAACAGTAAAGTGAATCTGATTGAACTACAAAACAGAAAACTGACAGAACCAGAGGAAAAATTAGACCAATCTGTAACCACAGCTGGAGACTTTGGCCCTCTTCTGCTTTGTAATTGACAGAACCATTAAACAGAAAATCAATAAGAATGTACAAGACCTGAACAACATTGAGTCAGGTTTGTTAACAAGCTGTAGATGGGAAAAAATATTTATCTGTGTCTGACAAAGGTTTTGTATCCAGAATACAAACTCTTTCAAATCAAAAGCAAGAAATCAAATGATTGATTAAGGAGGTGGAGAAGGATTTCAAGACACCTCACAAAATATTTGCACAAGACAATAACCACTGGAGAGATACTGAGCATCACCAGTGATGAGATAATCGCACATCAAAAAGCACAGTGATGCCCAAACTCACCTACCAGAGTGGCTAAGAAGGCGGACGGCACCAAGAGGTTGTGGAACAACTGACTCCTTAGAGATTGATCATGGGACTGTAAGGTGGTTGGATCATTTTGGAAAGCTTCATGGCAATGACTTACAAAGTTAAATATCCACCTTATTTAATATCTTAGTGATTGAATTTCTAGGAATTACCAAAGAGAAATGGATACTTAAGTCTAACTAAGATGTGTGCAACATTATTAAGGTGTGTGTAGCTTTACTCACAATAACTCGAATCTGGAGACAAGACAACAATCTAGCAATGGGTAGGTAGAGAAGACAAATGTTGGCATATCCACTCAATGAAATACAACTTGGCAGGAGAAATAAATGCTATTGGCAAGTGAAACGGTGTGGACTGCTGTGGATATCGTTCTATATAAATAAAACACTGTCCAGTGACCAGGCAGGAAGTATAGGTGGGACAAGGAGAGAGGAGATTGGGGAAACAGGAAGAAGGAGGGAGAGACACTGCAGCCACCGCCAGGACAAGCAGCATGTAAAGACGCCGGTAAGCCACCAGCCACGGGGCAAGGTGTAGATTTATAAAAATGGGTTAATTTAAGATAAAAGAACAGTTAGCAAGAAGCCTGCCATGGCCATACAGTTTAAAAGTAATATAAGTGTCTGAGTGATTATTTTATACGTGGATTGTGGGACTGCGGGGCTTGGCTTGGTGGAACCTGGAGAGAAGCCCTCCAGCAACAGTGGACAGATATAAAAAACATGATGCTGAATGAATGAAAGCACAGCAAATTTTATACCAGTTATGAAACCCTGGAGGAGCAAATAGAAAAAAGTGGGGATTTAGAGAAAGGGACTACAAAAGTAGCTGAGAGGAGGTATTTTTAGGATGATGTATTCTATATGTTACAGTGGTGGATATGGGTGTATGAACTTGCCAAAAAGTCACTGACCTGTTTCATGTATACTTTGAGCTTATCTTAAAACAAAACCCGAAAGCCAAAACCAATAAGGATAGGTACCTTGATGAGATTATACTTGAACTTGGGATAATGTCACTGAACTACCCTTTTGAATATATTTTAATGTATTTTATTTATGTATATGTGTATGTATCTGTGTGTGAGTATGCACACATGTGTGTGGATGCCTATGGAGGGTTCCCTGGAGCTGGAGTTACAGGCAGTTGTGAGCAGCCTTCCGTGGGTTCTGGGAACTGAACTTGGGTCCATTTGGAAAAGCAGTATTTACTCTTAACTGCTTAGCCATCTCTCCAGCCCCATTTTTTTAAGTCATTACTTTCCCCAGGTGAGTAGCTGCATGAAAGTCTGTTGTACGTCTCACATACCTCCAATGATAGCCGAGTTTCTGTTGACTCCATTTCTTATAGCTTGGCCTTGTCCTGGGTTATATGGGAAATCTGCACTGGCTGTAGAGAAGGAAATAAAGAATGAAGTGGAAGAGTCAAATACACCGAATAATTTCATATTTATTTCCTCATATAACTCTGAGACACTTCTCATTTTTACAAATGAAATTTCCACCTCAGGATGGACCCAACCTTATTATTGTCTCCTGTGAAAATTCCAGACACCCCCGTTCCTGATTTCACCATTTCTCTTTGTGCAAGTTCCAATGCTATGGCTTGATTGAGGGGAACGTTGGAGAATCTTAGAATGTTCTGAGCCAGCCTGTCCCCATCCTGCTGACAAGTCTACTTTTAGAATAGTTATCCTCCAGGGGTTGGTTTCAGAACACTGAGTCCACAGACACTCAAGCCCTGTATGTAACTAGGGAGCATATGACCTTCATAATCCTCCTGTATGATTTAAATAGTCTCTAAATTGCTAATCATATCCCATGGACTTGAATAAACACTGCAGTGGCTTTGGTTAACACTGGAGAATAATGATGAAGGGAAAAGTCTATCTGCATTTAGTTCAGACCATGTGAAGAGAGACTAGTTTTTGATCTGCAGTCCTTTGAATCCATACCTGCAGGACCCACAGACACAGAAGCAGGGTGTTTGTTTGTGTTCTGCTGAAATCTGTCTCCTACCTGCCTTTATTCACACACTACTGCTGGTTTGGAGTTTATATGCTGATGAGATTTTCACAGCACACACTATTAGTTTAAAAGTAATTGCTTCTTTAATATTTAGCAAGGCTTTAATAAAACACTAGACCCTTCAGGAATATGTAAAGGGCTTAAAGTTCAGAAGTGTTGAGAAGAATGTTAATAGCTTAACTTTCTATTTCTTCCCTGTTCAAAAAATATTAGGAGCAGTTGTGTCAAATTTAGGTGTGTCTCTAAGATGAATTCCACTTAGCACTCCAAAGGCAAATAGATTCTGAAACCTTTCTTAGGTCAGTAGACCATCTATAGCAAGTAATCCAAATAAGCAAATTCACCTTCACAGGTGGGGTTTCTTTCTGGCAGGGCTGGGGAACAAACCTATGGCCTTGCATCTGCCAGGCCAGGTTCTGCCACTGAGCTACGTCCCCAGACCATTCCAGCCCACAAACGGATTTGCAGTGGTAGGACCTTCTTTTGAGAAGTTCAAGCAAATCTCTCCAATAGAGGAAGTAACTTTTCCTCCAGCAGATGGAGCAGAGAACCAGAGTTTAAAGCAGACTGCAGCCTGCTGGATGGCACCAAGTCACTGGGAGAAACATTTCCAAGGTCTGTACTTGGTATAATTAAACAGAGGCTGTGTTATGATTCAGGTAGAACCTTGCGAGGGACTTGGTTCCTAAGGCTAATTCATCCCTGGCTGTAGATAGCTAAGAATCTCCAGGGTCATGACAGAAACAGTCAGAGCCCTTCCTCGTCTCCTTGGACATGAGCCGGCCAAATGCAGGATTTCACTTTTGTTTGTTTGTTTGTTTTTCGAGACAGGGTTTCTCTGTATAGCGTTGCCCCTATCCTGGAACTAACTCTGTAGCCCAGGCTAGGCTTGAACTCAGAGATCTACCTGGCTCTGCCTCCTGAGTCCTGGGATTAAAGGTGTGCACCACTGCCGCCCTGCTTGGGATTTCACATTTTTAACCAGAGTGTGTGATTTAGTTTTTTTCTCTCTTTGACTTCATTTAAAATTTAAAATTTCATTTTCATTTCTTTTGCATAAGTGTGTACATATGTAGGCACGAGCATTCCAAGGGGCACAGGTGGAGGAGTTGCTTCTCTCCTACTGTGCGGGCACCAGTGATTGAACTGTGCTGGTCAGTCTCGGCAACAAGTGGCTTTATCCACTGAGCCATATCCCTGGGCCCAGACTTGGCACGTTTACCCAGGACCAGAGAAATTACTCTCTCTTGGATTTGTACATTACTGATCTTTTCAACTATCAGAGTCATTTAAACCTGTTAACTGCTTATAGCCATAAACTCTGACAAACATATGAGTGAAAGAAAATTTATCTCCAGATTATCCACACTCTCTCAAGTCTTTAATTGTGGATGCAAATAGTGCCTTTGATGTAATTTCTTGCATTAACTGGCCCAATTCTAAGTCTAGATATCTTGGGAAACAGGAAGACAGCATACTTTGCTTCTTTCCCTCATGGTTCTTCCTCCCACCTCGTCTAGCTTTTCTGAGCTAGATAGCATTGATTTAAGATTTCAAATGCCAGCCCAAGAAGGCAAAGGTTAGTCATTTATGGGCTTTTCACTCTGGTAGTCTGAATGAAAAATGTGCCCGATAGGCTCAAGTATTTGGTCACTTGGTCCCCAGTCAGTGGTGCTGTTTGGGGGAGGTTATGTGACCCTTAGAACATGAAGCCTTCTTGGAGGAATGCACCGCACATCTCGGGTGCAGGCTTTAGGAGTTTAGAGCTTCGCTCCACCTACCCTCTCTCTACTTCCTATGTTCAGTTGAAGATGTGATTTCCCAGCTTCCTGGTCTGTCAGCCTGCTATTCTGGACTCTTCTTCTGGAACTGTGTAACAAAATAAACTCTTTTGTGGGGGAGCAGAGGAAGCCTCCAGTGAATATACTAAATGAAGCCCTGAGTGTGTATTGTTGACAAGGACATGACCATGTCAAGGACCAATGCCTCCGATCTGTGGGAAAATGGCAAAGCCTTCCTCCTGGCACAGGCTCAGAGGGATGGCAGAGTGGCAAAGCCTTTCTCTGGTTCAGTAGAGATGTTGGCAATGTGTACATAAACTGGCAACCACAGCTTTCTCCTTCTGGGTGTTTAGAGCCTGAGTCTGCTAGCCTGCGGACACTTTCTTCCTGGACTAACTCGTTTCTCCTCCTGTGCTGTATATAATATGGTGGTGTTCTCGGTTATGGTACAGAGTGAGCAGGACCCACCTGACCCCAGCTTTTCTGCATACGTTTGTGTGTCTGTTCTTTTTTCATTTCCTTCTCAACCCCAAGTTTCCAGAACTAAGCCTTGCCAGGACATGGCATCCTTCCAAAAGTCATGGCATTTAATCACAGCAACAAAAACAACCAATACTCATTTGATATTAATTTGGTCACAAAATTATCTTATGTGACTAAAGCCAGTTTATATAAAAACAATAGAAAAATATCCATTGGATTTCTTCTTTATATCTGGGTCTTCTTTTTCAGAGAATTATTCCTCAGTAGAAATGGCACATTTATTCACGTACTAAATCTTGGTAGAAGATCTTCACTGTGTCAGACTCCATTCTGAGTATGCACAATGAACAATAAAATGGGCAAGATGTGTAGTAATGAGAATTTCCTGTCCCTGGTGGTCTAATTACATGTGCCACGCAGACTTTGTTTATACAGTGAAAATGCTAATTAAAAACGTGGATGTGGTTTCAATCATGAGCGTCCCCAGTCCTGGTGACTTGTTTGAGTTTGCTTTGTGGTTTCCACACTGTGTGTCATGCAGCTCATATGACCATACGGCACAGCAAGATTTGGTTCATTCCCTGACTCGGCCACTTTTGAAGGATGAAGTTTAGACCATCACTGTCCCTCTTTTACATCTTCAGGCCTTTGGATGTTGTAATTACTCTTCTCCATATGCTGCTTGGTCCATCTCTAGCCTGACTAGAATTAGAACCCAAGTTAATTCCAAAAGAAGTAATCCTCCCACTTTTGAGCCCTTTGAAAACTAGGAAGATCCAGGCAGGAGAGTTGTTTAAAAGCCCCAACTTTTTAGATGGTTGAGTATGGGTTAGAACCATGATAGGAGGGCCCTTTTAGGGGATGAATAAAAAAAATCTGTGATGGAAATACTGAGCTTGCTGCACCTACAGGACTCTCAGGTGGGCCTTTCTTCTAGACATTTGGAGACTTGGAACAAATCGTATTTCTTGTCTTCTAACAAACGCAAAACTTCTGACTTTTTTTTTTTATACAATATGAACTTTCAAAACACATTCAACATCCCCTTAGAAATGTGTGGACAAATATGGGATTTCCCACAGCCCTGGCATATGATTTAGTTCTTTTTCTCTTAGACTTGATTTAAATTTTTTTTATTGCATTTTTGTATGACAAAAATTGCAAGCAGTCCTGTTATCAGCCTACTGTGACAACATTCTTGATGGTACAGGACGGTTGCTTTCTGCCTGCATGGCTCTAATAAAATGCTATCCACTTTAGGAATTTGTAGCATGGTATAATTTGTAATGTGACAGATGAACCATGGCAAAATTTCTTTCTGCTTGAAAGCCTAGCTTGTGGTGTTGTGTCCTTGGCCTCAAAAGTGCCCCAGATCACAGCTGCTTAGATATATTGGTGGCCTCTTTTCATTTCCTCCCCCTCCAGTGCTGAGGGGAACCCAGGTCCTTGTGCAGGCCAGGCAAGTACTCTATCAGTGACCAACATGCCAACCCCTGTCCGGTTCCTTTGATGTTACAGCTATGAATGGTGCTGGAAGTTCTGCCTGGGGAAGAGACCTGAGCTGACTCAGAAGAATGCAAGAGTCAGAGAACACTGGACACCTCCCCGGGTTGCCACTGAGGTGAATCTGAATTTCTTGGTCTTGTGAAGGCCTCACGTGCATAGGATTTCTCTCCTGCTTCTTCCCTCATAAGACTACTTTTCCAACAAAATATTCTGAATGTAATGGATTCTTATTGCTTCAGGCCAGCTCATCAGAGAACGCTCCCTGTCTGGATATCTGGTTTATTTTTCTTCTCTTTTCCCAAGCCAAAATTTACCTCTTTCTTGAAGGAACATACCTATCTCTAATTAAGTGGCCAGGCCCCTTTTCAATAGTTATAGTCTTCATTCTTTATTACTTCTTTTTTTTTTAAATCTTTTTTCATGTGTGTGTTCATGTGTGTATACATGTATTTTGAGGCCAGAGGACAACTATGAATGCTATTCTTAAGGCACTATACACTTTCTTTTAATCTTTTTTTTTTTTAAATCTTTTTGAGACAGAGTCTCTCATAGACCCAAAATGGGGATTGGCTGCCTAGTGAGCCAGAATCTA